GTCATCATGATCGTGTCCATTTTGTGTTGCTGCGCAAAGAGGCAGAAAACAAGGAACTTAAATGACCGCTTGGAGGATAATAAACCTAAATGTGCTGTAACCGACGCCGATACATTAATTTCCCTTAACAATGAAACAACCCAGCCGCTTTGTGAAAATGACAGTAATGCAGTTAGCAATGATAGTACTAACAATGATGTAGTGGTAGAAGTGGAAGATAACACGGAAGAATCTGATTACCTTACACCTGTGGATTCGCAAACCGAGATAAAAATCTTCATTAAACATGAAAATGGCGCGAATCAAAAGAGAAACGAGGCTCCAATCTATGCCCGTCCACTTAGTAAGAATTCAAGACTTCTGCCGCCTTTATTAACGCCGCCGCCTGCAAATGTTGGGGAGAAGAATGGAGAAAACGGTGCAGAAGCACCGGCTACCGTTCCCTCAACAGAATCGGAAAAGAATACTTTTCAAACTCGGAATTCTGGCAAGAACCGTTATCAAGACCTTAAATATCCAACATATGAAAACTGGGCCCATAATAAGGGAACTTATATGAGTCTTCTCAAAGCGAACGATCAAAATGACAATCAATCGAGAACACGCGTACCCTCCGAAGTTGCTTACGTCAATTTGCCAAAAAAATCGTCACCACTATTGACTTAACTTACAATAGACTAAGAAAGGCTTACACCAAGAGCAGATTTTGCAGGATATATTCAGATTGTAAAAATTATCCTTGTCGTTCAGCTGACATCACTTGACCCTTCGATCCTTTTTATTATTATTCTATTTTATTTTTATTTCGATCAAGTGATTCAATAACAGCGGGATGTCTATTACCTAAGAGCGCGCTTTCCAAAAGTCAAACCTGGCCAGCCAGACCGGTCAACTTAAATATATAAACAGCTAAATCAAAAAACTTTTCTTTGGTTTTACATTGGTCATTGGTAGTTGGGCGTAACAGCTAAATCAAAAAACTTTTCTTTGGTTTTACATTGGTCATTGGTAGTTGGGCGTTTGGGCATATGGAACAATGCAGTGATTTACTTGAGTGACCATTGCTTCCAATGCGCAAGGCCCAATGCCCAAAGCAACCTTTGTTGAATTAGCTAAACTGCGTGCATGTTATCTAGGGACAAACCGATCTGACTGGAAAGTCCTGATTTATAGTGAAATTCTCCTTATGTCTGGACTGGTCTGGCCAGCCAGTTCTGACAAATAGAAAACGCCCGACTTTCTCCTAATGAACGGTTTCCCATTTCGTCCTATTCAAAAGTGTACCTCCTATGACCACCCTTAACTAAGGCAGCTTTCACATATAGTGCCCGGGCATGGTGCCCAAGTACGGTACTCGCTGGGTACTAATGTGAACACAACCTTTTTTCAAGTACCCACGCTAGAATTCGGGCGCGGTGCCGGTGCCCGAGAACAAGATCTCGACCTTGTACTCGGGCGTGGGCACCGGGTCCCTGTGAGAACACAATTTTTGTTCCGGGCAGTCCACTGCTTTGTTCTCGCTGCTAGGCTCATGTTTCAAAATGGCGTCTGACGGGGCAAAATGGAGTAGCTATGTACACAGTCACATATCGGATACTCAAAGTGTAAACACAGCACCATTTTGTGCAGGAACCCAGGCACTAGTTCCCGAGCACCAAGTGTTACCAAGTGTGGACAGCCCCTCTCCCTTTAAAATCATTTTTTCTGCATTTGAGTCAAAATTAAACTTATCTTACGACTTATTCCTTCAAGATAGGTCATGACTTCCTACTAGCGCTAGGGATAGACGAAAAGAGGTTTATTTTCATAATCAGGCCCCAGTTGTTAAAAGGCGGATGTAGAGCTATACAGGGGATCAATCTCCATTCAGTGGATCGTAGTGCAATTGGTCAGTATCTCTAATTCTTATCCTCTGGATAGTGATTTATCCGATGCAGGATAGCGCTATCCCGAGCTTTTGAACAACCGGGTCCTGCAACTTTGCATTCAAATGTCGGGGTGACGTGAGTACTTTCCTCTTTCCTTTCGGCGGGCCTCCTCCCTACCGAAAGCATTGTTGGAAAAATAAAACATGCTAGATTAAAATGAGCAACAAGCCAAGAATAATTGTGGCAAGAAGCCGGGACTAAGAGTCGAGTGAGTTGACTCGATTTAACGTTCTCTTTGGAAACCGACTTCAAGTCTCTTGTCTCATAATGAGGGAACATTTTTGTTGTTTTACCACAAGACTGACCCCTGCACAGGTCTCACGACAGTTTCCTTGACACCAAATTACAGCCGTCAAACCTCAATATAACGGCTGCGCATATAGAGGTCACCCTGTGTATTACGATTACCGATCAACTAGTACGATACCTTATAATTACTGAAAAGTTGACGTTTATTGTTATCATTTGTACCTTTTTTTTTACTGTATATACCATTAGCGAATCAGGACAAGATTTATTCAGCATGCAAATCATCACCGTAAAAAAGTTTTTATTAGAAAACATAGATATCACACTAAATAACCCTAACAAATATATAGCAAATATATATCGTATCGTCGCCTGCACCCGATGAATAACACTCCACCTGAACCTAAGCCACTGGCTGTCGAAACATGCACAGTTACTAGCACAGTTAGTGAGGCTTAGGGAAGAGCTGAAACACTCGGCTTTAATTGGAGTGCTATGGTCGCGAAAAATGCCTCACACACTCAGAAAAGTCAATGAAATTCTACGTGGAATCAAGCCTCGTGCTCTCAGAAAACCTTAATAAACATTTTCAGTTTCCTCTTGAAATTTGTGTGTATGGTAAAGCTTTACTTCAAAGACATTTAGCAATTACCTGTACCTCCCTAAGAGAACACCACATTTATTTTTAGCGACTTTCACTCGTATTTATTGTTTTTTACACGTTCTCGTTGCCGTCGCGTCTTTGGATGTTAAAGTCCCTAATGACGGGCGAGGAACGAGCGCAGAAATTACATACTGACAATTAACCTGTCATTCAGATCTGGGCCATACTTCTGATTGGTTAGACTACGAGCGGTCTCCCTTTTTTCTTGGTCCGTCTAGCAAAACGAGCGAGACGCGCAAATGTTCCCGCGCGTAATGAAAAAGAGACTGCACGCAGTCTACTAATGGTTCGTGCCCCAGGGGAAGTTGCTTCAACCAATCAGAAGCATCACTCAGATCTGGGTAGTGACACGTGATCAGTATGGAATTTTTGCGTTCGTTCCTCGGACGTGCGGGAAAGCAGTAGTGGCATCGCTGTTTTCTTAGGTGAGACTTCTATTTCAGTTACTTGATTTTGAGGAAGCTTGTGTTGAGAGGGCCTTGTTTATATCAAGATCGCAATTTTAATTAGCTTTGTGTTGTTTCTTTTCCTGCCTGTTAGCTTTGTGTGAGCCGTTCAGTGAGGTGCTGTTTGACCCTGTTAGCTGCATCTCCAAATCTAAAACTTACCGACAGGGAACAGACAGCAAAAGTTAACACATAAAAGGACTGAGAAAAGTGATTTTATTTGAATCATTTCAAAATGCAGCTTGGGTCTGGCTCTGCATTTGATGAGAATGTACCAGTTTCAAACGTCGAATTCCACATCAGCCGAATTTAAATCTATTGTTGTCGTTTCCTAAATGAGTAATCTTAGATTCGGCACATGTGAAATGCGATGTTTCAATTGCATAGTTTTTACGCCAGCAGTGAGGAGACCATGTCAGATAAGGCTTCTATCCACATATGAGAACGGTGATTTCGGCGCAATTTCTGAAACGGAGCGAAGCTCGGACGAATCTCTAAAGTGGAGAGTCACATATCGGATATGTGTTGACACTATACCGGATCGCTTTTGGTGTCCGCACGTAAAGTTATCCGGTATATTTTGAACGTAGCCAAACTCATACAAGCTTGCGCAAGTTATCTTAGCTTGATTGGAAAGATTACATCTCAGATGTTTGTCAAAGTATACTGAAGCAAGAGCCACAATGGCTCTTGATTGAAGTCAAAACGAACCTTATCGTTATCCGGCAACAAAAAAATACATTACCCTTGTCCATTTTACAGGAGGTAAACGCTGACTAAGGGCAAAAGAAAAGATTTCTCAACTCTGATCGGGTCGTTGAACAGTTTGTAGTAACCTATTTGCCGCTGAAAGAACTAAAGACTTCTAATCCTCTATTTTACGTCGCATATCAAAAGGAATAAAAACGTTCAAAAAAACGAATTTGGAAAATATCCAAAGGCCTGAAAACCTTCTCCGCGCCGTTTTTCTCGACGCGACCGACTGCCACCTCCGAGGATGGGAGAAATATCTCTATCTGTACAATCAAACCTCTTTCTCTCTGTCTTAGACGGGAAATAATTGGGAGCGGCAATGAATCCCCTAGATGATCGCCCTAAAGCAAGTGAATTAACCTGAGATCAGGCCCAATTTGAGCGGTTCTCATACATTCTCTCTAACGGCTACCGCTGAAATTGGGCCTGATACAAACTATTGCAAGTTTGTGCTCGTTACGGCCAGATTTTGGCCGTAACGCTGATTGGCTGTTAGAACAATGCCACAAGATCTGATTGGCTGTCGGAAACGCCGGAAGTTGAAAGCGCTTATTCCTCGCGTTGTTGCTTTCGTGAATGATCCGTCGTCGGCGGAGAGAAGGATCGATTTTGCTTTCTTTCTTATTGTTTTATAGTCTTATGGTGGGAAAATATGCCTTAATATGTGCCATGGAAATTCAGAAAATTCATATGGTTGTTCATATCTTCTCAGGATTTGCTTTATTTACGGAAAGTGAGTGTATCGTGGAGTTGAATCCCTCTGCAAGTTGTTGACCGCTAACAAGGTGCATTTGATTTACCAACAAACGGGTGCAAATCAAAATACTGTCCATCTTAAAACTGGTTTCATTTGAAAGTTTAGCCGGGAATGACTTCTCTGAACGGGCTACGCAGGCGGAGGCTCACAGCGAAAGAAACCTCAATCGCCAACTGTGAAGTATTAGACGAAAAATATCGCATCGCTGCTCAAGGAATTTTCAGTGTTTACAGACTGGTTGTTTGCCTTCGCTTCAGTTGTAAAAAATAAACCAAGAAAACTGCATGGTGTCCTCGCTCGTTGGCTGTTTTCTTTTGTTTTTAAAGATTTATGTACTGAACATCGGGGGGAAATTGCCGTGGAAAATATTAAGACAACGGAAAAATAGAGATTTCAGTATTTTAAATTCCAGAGCGCCTAACCAAAAATAATAAAACTAGTAGAACATCGTGTCGCCGTCTTTTCGAAAACTTTTTACCTTGTACGCCTACAGAAATAACCTTCGAGATCTCCCTTAATCTCGCAAGCAGTTAAATGTGATTGTGCTGACTGTTTTATTTTTAGCTGAAAAAATTAACAGATAAAAGCTATTTTTTAAGTCAGCCAGTCTGCATTTTTCCCTCGCGTGAAAAATTTGCATACTAGAAAAACAAGCAACGGAAGTAATTCTGATTGGCTGATTCGGCAAATGTCAATCAATCAAAAAAGTGGGCGGCAGACATTTCGTTAAAGGTTTGTATCAGGTTCTCTTTTCGTTTCGCCTTGCCCGCCGGAATGTAATTTTCAAAGCGAAACGAAAATAGAGCCTGATCTCAGGTTACAAGTGAATTAAAATGACTAACGATTGAATAGCACGGACCAATTCTAGTGAATCCGTTTTAGGGATGTGTCCATTAATAAAAGAGAATTTACTGTAATCAAACAACACGCCATGGACTACTACATTTCATGCAGTTACACTAAATATCTTGGGCTTCTGTTCTTCACTCAAGGTTCTTGGATAAACAACAGGCAGCAGCTTCAGATGAGCGGTGAATGGGACCAGGCGCGCTACGATCAAATCTGATAGAGCGTCTGTAAAAATCTATGACGAGCCTCTGAGCAGGACTCCAAGAGTTTATTGGGCCTGAAAACAACAGAGAAGATGGGTTTTATCGTTCTTCCTATCTATATTCCAAGCTAGAATCAAATACCAGGGACTGATAAATCTTGAAGATAGCAAGTGTTAAAAACAAACCTAGGTTTCGATAAAGACAAAAAAGGTAAATTATTTTTAAGTTCAGTCATAACGAAAAGAAGTAAAATTTAAAATGTCGCGTGTCTTCGCATTAGCTGACCTATTTGGTAGCTGGATCATAGGTAACCTTGAACGCTTCCTAGAAAAGCATGGTTCAGTTACCTTTGCTTTTATGCATTATTTAAACATGTCAACAACTATTTGAAAAAATATATTTTCCTTACTTTGAAATGAAAGCGATGAAGAAGGATTTTAAATGTGTGGGAAAGTAAGGTTGTTTAGCAGCATGTTCTAAAGCCGTCAGTGGACCGGATATGTCTTTGGCGGATTCAACCTTCTCCTCGCCCTAAAAACAACAAAGAAGCAGGTAACAATTAAATTACACGACAACATATCACACTTGGTAGTAGAAATGAGCTACAAAACTATTACGTATTTGCATAGACCATATAAGCAACAACCTTAAGGTCAAGTCAGTGCGAATTTTCGGTTGACAGACATAGTCAACAGGAAAGATTCTTAGGCACGAAAAATAAGTGCTTTTCAGTTTTGATTGGACTTGTTATAATAATAATTTTTTTGTTTTTTATGATCGGGTATTCCAACGGTGAGGCAATCGCCGTCTATTTTGATGATCGAGCTGCTATATTTCTTGACAAAAAGCAAGGAGAAACTTTCAGGCGTACAACCCTCAACTCGCCACATTTTATTCCCCAACCTCGCCTCGCTAACACAGATGCCCCCATGATTCCCACAAGTCGACTTTTTCGGCGAGCGACGATCCAACCAAAACGGAGAGACAAGAGCTACACGTCCTGTCCATAAAGCTGATCAGTGTTATTACCTTGAGAAGACCCATGTGAATCAGAAGAGCAGAGACTAAACCTTCTTCCTTACACATATCAGATTCAAAGGCTGTCTTCAGGATTGGCTCTAAAACAACAACAGAATCACTCAGCGGAAACCTGTTCCTTAAATCAGTGACATACACTAACAGCTGTATCTGTCCCATCGAGAGAAAGGCGATTGAAGGTTGGGCAATCGAACACTGTTCGTATCTTTTAAACACAGGCAAATTTAAGCTTTTCTGCAAATTGGGTATTTTTTAATATCCGTTTTGATTTTTTTTACTAACAAAATAGCACAAAGTTCTGTTATCCACCGTAATTGTCTTATAAATAGGTTGAGTATAATCGTCCGAGTGAACGTTGTCCTGAATACTATAGGACTGTTGTTGACAGTGACTGAACTGACGTTTCGACCACCTGAGCAGTGGTCATCTTCAGAGTCAAAGACGTCAAAGTGAGTTGTGCCACGTCAGTTGATGGTATTAAAAACCTTTCACTGTTTTAATCATTTTAGGTTTATATTTTTATTTTCATTTTTTCGCATGATAACTTTTCTTACTTGGGAAAGCTCGGTGGCCTCTCAGTGGACAAAGAGAACTTGGTCAGTGGGTGGATTGTCTTTCCCAACTTTGCCGGGTGAAATCATTTTAAAAAGGACAATTGACTGATATTAAAATTCCATTCTATCGTAAAAAGAAACCAATCGATCTTACCTGAACACTCCAAAAGGGATGTTTCGTCATCTTTGAGGATAACACAAACCTGGAAAATGCACACTGAGCTCAGGTTAAGTGTATTAGATGAGATAAAACAATACCGTGTTTACAAAACTCACCGACACAAAAAATCTTGCTACTTCATTTGCATCATGTAAATGATCCTGTTAAAATACAACCAAAAAAAGACAATTGTTTCAACATAAAAATGCAGCTTCCTTGTCTTCTTGTTTCTCGTTTTTTATCGGCAGTTCCGAATAGCATTCGGCTGCAAATATTAGGACAATTTCTGATGATCTCCCTAAAAAATTTAGTGGCAACAAAAAACCCGGCTTTTTTGGATGTTTGCTGCCCATGCGCTCAAAGATAGCGAGTTCGTAAGCCAATCTGTTCGAAGGAGTCGCATCCAAAATCTTGCAGATTTTTGCATTTTTTAATTTCAGTTAAATCAATTTGCGTGCACGCTTTGTAACTAGCGAAGAAAAGAAAGCCCTCACTCGGACCTCATTAGCTATTCAGTCTCGGAAAACGTAAAATATTTGACTCACTGACGTGATTATTGATTCTCCATTCTTAGTCATTGTCCAGATTCAATAGTTCAGTTTGTGCTTTACGTTTTTTTACGCGAAAACTGCTCCGACGACACTCCACGATTTGTCGACATGTTTTGAAAAAGCCGTCTCTTTAACTTCTTGAAAGTGGCCTAGACTTCAAGTTAGCAAATATAACTCATAAATTAAAATAGATGCGTACCCTTAAATTCTCGGCTATCAGAAAAGACCTTTGTTTGATTGGTATTTTCTTCAGCTTCTCTAACGTCGGTCCCAAAAGGAAATCTTTTACCACGTCCGTGTTCGTCACCTACACACATAAATCAATTTAAAAACACCATTAACAATTAGCAAATGCAATGAAGTTAAGAAAAGGTCAATCTAGTAAAAGGAAGGAAGATTCATCTAAATGGAGAAAAATTACCTTTTCTCTATCTACAGCACCAAACGTCCCAGTTTATATTAGGGGATTGGGGGAGAGATGTGAGGGCGGGAGCCCACACCCCCTTCTCCCAAACCCCGAGAGGAGATTGGGGGAGGGGTAAGGGTGCCTTCTCCCAGACACCGGGAGAAGATTGGGGGTGAGGGTAAGGTCGGGAGCCCACACCCCCTCAGCCGAGACGCCGGGAGGGGATTGGAAGAGGGGGAGTGCCAGAGTCAAGGGGTAAACCTATAGAGCCAAAGCCTCATCAGAGAGTTTCTTGAATCTATGACAAGAATCAAATAAAGCTAAATTTTGATTTGGAATTTGTGTGGAGCCATCACAGGATAAGAATGACAATGTGATTGTCTAACCTTTGATACGTATTTTGGCCAGGAAGCAGTATTTTGCCCTCTACCCTTCTCTTGCCTATGCATGGCGAATCCGCAAACCGAGCCATATTTTGGCCCCTCAGAGCGCTAATGGCAGATTTATTACAGAGAAAGAAAAACGAAAACCTATGAAAGAGTATTTTTCGTCCTGCTTTCTGGAAAGATCATTCCATAATATTACAAATCCTCGTCCACATTTCATAACACCAGGTTACAAGACAAAGTGTATAACACACTCTTTAATATGTCAATATAATATACCACCCGCTACGTAAATACGCAGCTTTAAAAATAAAAATGGATATTTTTCTACATTAAAACGTGTGTAAAATCATTGGTTCAATACGGTGTATACTTTCAGAGTGAGAATAAATAAATTATAATTATTTCGATTTTCGCCAGAAATGGTGCGGAATATAATACATAGGGTCTAACTACACTTTTGAACACAATAATAAATACAATATAATAAAATGGTAAATTAAATTCACCCCCCTTTATCGTACAGCTATACACGATTTATGTTACAGCGTATACCGTTTTGAGATGAAAGTTTTTAGTTTCAGTTCATTGATTTGCAAACGAAAAGTCAAGAAATATGAAAACGTAAGAAAATATGTGTGTCGTTTAGGCCCGGTTCAGACGCCCAACTTTTCATGAGCCGAACCTAGAGTAATTCGAATTAAGGCCAACTCAAATTATTTAGATCGCCCGGGTTGATTCAGATCGTAATTCCAGCCGAACTAAATTCAAAAGGGGAAAAATGCTCACTTTGGAGTTAACCTGCTTACAAAAAACGTTATAAAAATATAAGTGTTAGGTTCCGTCCAAAAAATTCTAGGCCGGGCTAGGCGGGAAGAACGGCTGAGCCGTTCCAGATTGAAACAGGTGTTCGTCATTGATTCAGACGCCTAACTTTGCATTTACGTAATCCAAAGTATTAGGTTCGGCTTATGAAAAGTTCGGCGTCTGAACCGGGCCTTACGAATTTTTTGAATTCCACCGGGCGATTGCTTTGTTTTTCTCAGAAATCTCAGAAAACTATCAACTTTTGAAACACTAAGGCCCTATTTACAATATACAAAAGAGTTGTCCCGGGAAAGAGAGCAACCTTCTCAGCCGAGTCAACTTAAGCGCCACTAGTCGAAGACTTTCAAAATAAGAAAATTTGAAAGCTAAGCTTAGAATATTCGATGAAACAACTACGTAAAAATACACAGGCTAAAATTTGAAAAAGGAAACAACCTAACTATTCTATCCACGATGTTGACAGTTAAACTACTCCTGATCTAAGTGACGTGATGCCATTTTTTGATCCTAATCCTGTATTTTTTCAGTAACTGAAAGTAAAATTAATACAAAGTTCGTCTATGCAAAATGGAACTGAATTGAAGGAGACCGCAATATTGGATGCACTTGTACGTGTAGTGTATATCGCGTTGTCTTTCTCAGTCTTTATTGGAATCTTCTCTCGGCGATTTACTTCCCTGTGACAAACGTAACAGAAAACTAATTAGCGCTTGATATGCTCAATGTAAGCGTTACTTTACAGCGAGAGTTGCCAAACTTTCACTCAACAAAACAGTTATTTAGCTTCCTAGAAACAAAAAGACTGTGAGTGCAATTTTTGAAGGAACTGTTTTTCTGGTTTGTCAAAAATGGCACCACGTCACACGCAGAAAATCAAACATTTTATGGAAATTTCGACATTTCTGAGTTCGCGCCCTCGGGGTATTGGGGGTACGCCACTCAGCTGGCACGATGGTTACCTAACCTGTGCAACAAAATATGGACGGTAAAGATTCAAGTGACCAGAAAATTTATCCAGCATAGTCTCCGTAATCACAATCTAGTCTCAGTCGAGGCTTCTAATAGGCTGGATACTTAGAGAAGTGTGAGCTGTCTGCTTGATATTTCCACTTTGCAACACGGTTGATCACTTGGAAGCTCAACTTGTTAAGGAGGCTCTCGCCCATTTATCAAGGTCTCACTCTGTCGTTTTTTATCATCCATAACTTTGGCTGTAGTGCATGTAAGAAAACGCTACAAAGCGAAACAACAATTTCCTAAACAATGATTGCTGGATACTTTAAATTCCAGACCTACCTTGATGAGTTCTTTTTCTATCTCTTCATCAGTACCAAGCAGCGGTGACTCTGGTTTAAGGCTGACACCTGTCACGCTAAGATTCAGTTCATCACCCGCTTCTCCATCATCGCTGTCGCCGCCACCCAGTTCTTCATCTCCTTCTTCACCTTCATCATCGTCAACCTCTCCCTCGTCATCACTAAGCGAACCAAGAGCATCAAGACGACCATTTGACTCGAGCCAGCCCTTAACTTCTTCAATTCCATCTTCCCCAATAGCATTTCCTGTAAAATAAAATCAAATAATGAATAACTCTTGACTTTGATTTTCTGAGAGGCGGTTAACCGTAGACCCGGTACACACCAGTGCGTTTCGTTTGAAAACCATATTTTTTTACGCGCTTAAGCATTACGCCAACTGTAAAACGATCAAAAACAGAACCTTTTTGAAAACGCTGCAACAATAACCAAGCAACAAAGCGAGAATTTTAAAACAACAAATCCAAGATAGCCTGAGAAAAAACACGTATCTAGCCTGATCGCCACCCACTGAAACTAGTAATAGTCTACAATATAGAGAAGGTACATGTATGCACCATTTACGGGAGTGTTTGGGGGAACAAGGATTTTGAACTCCAGTGTAATATTATTTGAGCTTCACACATGTAGTGTATTGTTCTTCAGTTAAGTGATAAAATCAATGTCAGCTCGAACAGAGTGTTTCTGTCTACATAGTTGTATTTCAAATTTGGCTTTCTGGTTGCCTGAAACCGGTGAAGAGAGAGCAAAACAAACATCAGGACAAACTCTAACCCTCCTTTTACTACACAAGTGCTAGTGCAGGCACTTTCTACCCAGGCCACCACTACTTTCCTAAGCGAGCTAAGAGAGAACGCTAACGTAGACGACTACATCAGGGGCGCTATTATGTCTTCCTGTAAATTATAAATACACATTTTCTCCATAAAGGCAGACAATGGGGAGATTCTGTACTATGGCCGCAGCTAAACAAACCACCTGCTTCGTATACCCACCATTTAATTCCAGTTTCTTCAAAGAATCTTTACTCTCCAAAGCCTCAACAATAGCCAATGCTCCTTCTTTGTTTATCTCATCAAAAGACAAGTTTAGCTCTTTCAAGTTATTCACTGAAGTTCGTAAACTCTTAGCCAATGCTTTGGCGCCTTCTGTTTTGACTAGGCAGTCTCCAAAGTTAATGACCTCAAGATTTTTAAGGCTTGGTAGCACCTACAAAACAAGCACTTGTTACAAATCAACATGATTTCTTTCCATATACATACAAATAGCTATCACCACTCCAGAGTCAGTTCTAGAAAGTGGTAAGATCACGAGGAACTTTTTACGTCAGCATCTCAAAGATCAGAGCATCAAAATATAACCCCATTGGTAGCAGTCTGAAATGTCACCCGTCTCCAACCCCTGCCCGGGGGGGGGGGGGGGGTGGGGGTGGGGGGTGTTGGGACATGCAGATTTAAGCTGTTACTTTTCTGCAAAGTTGACTTAAATTTTTGCAAAAGCTTTAAAAATGGTGTGGCGTATACACTATAGAATGAAATTGCCCCCTTTAATAATAATTATAAGTATAATTAAAAATAGCAAATAATAATTATTTGATGAAAAGGTATAAACTTTACCTTTGCCATTGCTGTTGCTCCCTTTGAAGTAAATGTGTTGTCATTTAAATTCAAGATCTATTAAAAGACGCAACAGACAATTTGCAATCAGTGCTTTCTTTTAGGCAAGATAACAGTTTAAGAACAATGGTCTTAAGCAACATAGACCCTATTGCAGGAATTTAGAACAATACGAATAAACAGGAAACTGTCCATTGAAAAGACCAAGTGAAACTGTATATAATATACAAGGCAATTTTGGTGTTTAAAAAAGTACTCTCGACTGTTTTACTCTGATTATGGTAGAATTCAGCTGGGCACCTTGCATGTATCCCAGCAATTCCATTTGCCCACTGCACCAACTGAACAGATGAATAGGTAAGAGTAAAAACTAAGCCACACATGAGATAAGGAGACCTACATGGTTGGAGCTTAATGTCACTGTGGTTTTTGTAGCATAAAGCATCTTCAGTGTAGGAGTATTGCTACATGTACTCCGGATGCTAGATCATTGTACAGTTACCTACAGCAGTATGTTGCTTATGTTACCCATTGACACACCTAGACTAGTGGAGTCAAACTTTCTTGTCTAAAAAAACAATGCCATGGTGAGGCTTGAACACAGACTTTAACAGGTCTAAAGTTCAAGTCGTCAACCACTTGGCCATTGCTTCTCATCTTCATAAGGTGTACATACAGGAACATGAAAAACAGTGAAAGATGGTCAATAAATAGACAGTTTACAGACCTTGAGATTGGGATTGGATTTAAATGCTTCTGCTAAGGCTGCTATTCCTTCATGAAGGATTCCATTTTGTGGCATTTGAACCTCTTCTAGACTCCCTATTGTCTGAAAACAAACAAACAAACAAACAAATTAGCAAGTTTAATCAAGCAATTAAGAAAAGCAAAACAAGTGATACAAAACATAGCAAAGTTCTGTGATCATCAGAAACATGAAGTTTATGAATTTACAATGTAGTGTTGATTTGATTAAAAGATAGCAGTACATGATACATGTACTATACACAGCAATGTCTCTTAGTACATGACATCTGTTCCATGCATTACCTGAAAAGCCTCTGCTAATGATGTGGCACCAGGATTTTCTAGTCGATTTCTACCAGATATGAACACTTGAAGCTGCAGAGGGGTACCAGCTTCTGAGCTGGTTTTGTGGCAGTCAATCAGAGCCTTGGAGAGAATCTACAAAAAAGACCAAATATTCTCTCACACAAAATTCAGGTTTTTACAAGTGTCATTTTCATGTTCTTAAATAGTAAACTAAATAGTAAATCAATCTTCTGCTTCAAAGGATAGGTGTTACTGGTAAATAAATAACATAATTTTATTTTCCATGGTATTCAATAGTTGTCATATCAGTAAGGGGGAATAAAAAGCTAAACATTATTTTTACTTAAATTGTACCTGTATAGATATCCTAGGGTGCTAACCAAAAGTCAGAATTAACTGGCCAGACCAGTCAATTTGAAGATGAAATAAATAGGCATTTCTCAAGCTTCATCACAAATTCTGTTACAGTGGAACCTCGGTATAACAAACCTTTCATAACAAAGTCCTCATTACAACAAACGACTTTATTTACCCCAGTAATGGCAGGCGACAAGAGGAGCCCGCAATCCTAATATCCAGGTTGTTAATATGCATGCGTCGCATGTATGTAGCCATGAGCATTCGTTTGGATTTCCACTAACAATGTATGGAATGAACAACGCACTTTGATCACGCACTTTTGGACTTTCTATCACTCGTAATCTGATCATGCATGTTTCGACCATCTGTCACATAAAACTTGCGCAAAACACACTGGAGAAAAAGTGTTTTGACCCTTGATCATTGTCGCCCACACTTTGTAACCTTTGGTTATTACTAGTAGGAAAATAATTATATATGGAAAAAAACCTAGATAAACAAAACCTCGTTATAGAGAACAAGTTTTTACAGTCCCTCGGCCCTTCATTAAATCGAGGTTCCACTGTACTTCCAACACCTCAACGATATTGTTTTGAAGTACTGACAAGTACAACCTCCACTACACTCAGTCTGACAGTTTCACTTCCACTTCTAATTTTAATATTTTCTAACAGGCACTAACCTTGCCTCCACCAACACCAAGGCCATTATTATTTAACTTAAGTGTTTTTAATGAGTAACAGGCTTTGCTTGTTAGCAGCTTTACACATGCTTTCACCCCATCAGGACCAAATGCATTGTCACTAAGGTCTAGTTCAACAAGTTGAGCATCAGCTGTTATGACACCATCACTAAGATGTCCCTAAAAAACAAAGCAAAGAAAATTCAAAAGAACATTTATTTTGATCATATGACCTGAACATCCCGGCGCCCAATTTTGTTGAAAAACCATATGAAAAAAGGCCCGTATGAGGGCCTTACCTTTCAAGCGATAGGACCGGAAAAACAATTACACCTCTGCTAGAAAAGCTTACTGATCGATGCAGGTTAGTTCCATCAGAAAAATTCAAACACAATGATAAATAAAAGATATTTAAACACTTTTTGACTGAGTTAGGTCAAGCCGGAATTGAAAATATTTGGCTCTCGGTCAGGACGCAAAGACCTCACTGCACTTAGTCCACACGTACTGACCTTGGGCCAAACATTTTCCTGTCCGGCCCTCCCACTTAGTCAATAAGTACATAACATTACTTCAAAAATGAACAACTGGTAAACCCTTCCATCCCCATGCAGACTTGTTTTGAACACAGAAATAACGACAATGTAGAGTAGTTGTAACTTTTGAGTCTGCAGATACAGTAAAATGCTGTCAGTGGTGTTCACAACTATTCTAAATTATCATACAAACTCAGTATTTCAGTATTTCAGTATTTTAACGAATAAAAGTCATGAAAAATAGTTTGAAACATTTTCTCAACAATTTTGTGTTTTCCAAAGGATCTTAAAAGGTGACAGTGAGTTTGTAAACACACACTCTAGCACTGTATTTCAGTGGATATTAATATATAACTTCAGAAAATGAGTTTTAAAATTTTCTTGAACTTTGATTTGAAGCATTCTTGGGAGAGACAGGGTTTTCTGGCATATTACATGTATCTATGGTTTATACATACCAATGCCAGCGGAATTTCAGATCTTAACCTTCCAGTAAAGATATCACTCCACAGTGCTCTCTGAAAAATAAATCAGATGCAGTGTCACATTCAGTTCTATTTTAAGGTTTCTTAGATCACTGTTTTCTAGCAGAGCTACAATGAGGGACAAAAGTGTTGAGACACTTCCGTGAAATGACCCCTTTTTGCAAAGTGGACATATCTATCCCCTTCCCCCAAAATCAATGTTGTATTTTGGGCCCTCAAGTCTTCCTAGTACTTCAGACAACATTGATTTGGGGGTGAGGGGATTTACAGCGTTTAATTAAAAGGAATGACATAATAAATGAACTAAATGTTTGAGAAAAGCACCCATTTTAAACAAGAGGGTCAACTTTTGTCCCTGATCGTAGAAAAAAGGCCAAGCTGGTAGTCTTAGACATTTGCTCAGTAGGCAAGGGTACTAGCAAGTCATTCCTCTATCAAAATCAATCACAAAGCAAAATGCAGCTCACCTCCAATTCTTTTCTTGTTGAAAGTGCTTCTCCAATGGCCTTAGCAGCATCCACACCTATGGTGTTACCCTCCAAACATAATGCCTGAACATCTTTACTGGCCTTGATTGCATTTACAACCTCTACAGCTGTAAATTAAACAAAACTATGTATCAAAAATTATTATGAATCAGCTATGTCCAACTTACATTGTACCTATTGTCAATGGCTATTTTAGGGTATGTCCAGGCAAGCCTTGAAAGAACAATATAAGACATTCAAGAAATGTTGGCAAATAACACAGAAGAAATAATATGAATTGAAACTACCCCAGCAACGAAGACAAGCACAACAACAATGGTAAAACACTAACAGAGACAATTTTGATGTGAAATGAAGAGTTATGGATTTTTTTTTCTCAAGCTTACCAAGGTGAGGAATAGTGTACAGGGTTCACAATAAAATCACAGCTTTTAGCCTGAATCTGTATGCTGTTTTTTCCTGGCTGTTAATATTGACTGAGCACTGCCGTCAATAGTCAACAACATGATTTATTATTATTGTTATTTTATTATTACTAAGCAGTTAGCTAAATTAACCATCAATGCTGGAAAGAACACCATACTAACAGTATTAACATTTGCCAGGTTCAAGGGTGATTAGCTGAAAAACCACAAAGCTACAAGTATGGCTCTGGAAAGTAACAAATCCTTTCAGACAGTAGTGTGGTGTGGTGTAAAAACTCCTTCTTCCCCCCCCTCCATCCCCCTACCACCAGGTACTCTTTCTACTAGTGTTGATGTATTTTCGCTGTGGAAGGGTTTATTAACTCGAGTCATGTGGTAAGCGAGTTAACCAAACTAGCAAAACATGTAAGCAAATTGACCATGGTTTGCACCAAATATCACATGAATACTTATGATAAATAGACAATACTGAACCAAGCAGATAAGCACATGTATGTATTGGATCCAAACTATTAATACCGCTTAATTGATATCCGTCCCATGTCAACTACAGCCAATTACAAAATAGACTTAAGGAATGATAAAAACCCCTGGCGACAACTTCTTTTACAGAAGGTTATTAAGACTGATTTTCTTCGCACCTTTAGGATACGAAAGGCTTAAGCTTATTTCTTACCGTCATCTTCGGAGTCTAACTTAAAACTTTTTCCTTTGAAACTAACGACGTTCACTTGCTCAACTTTCGTTTTTGCCAACAGTTCTGCAACGCCTTGAACGTCGTCTTTTGTGCCAGCCATCTTGGAAAATAATACGTTAATTTTTCGCTTAGAGTCTAATATAAGCTTCAAGCTCACGAGAAAAAAGGCAAAATTGGAACAAATTTTTGAACGATTTCACAGGCGGCAAAAGATGATTTTGGCGAGAAGCCTGAAAACTAGCGCATGGTATTTTGTGTTTAAGCTGCCATGTTTGCGGGCGCAAGTAAGAAGAACCCTTAGCTTCCTGAGCTAGCCTGCGAAACGCTTGCTGCGCAGGCAACTATGAGCGGGCTAACTTTTTTTCTTACAAAACTAGGCGAACCGTTTACAAGAAGGGTGACCCGCCTAGCCGGCCGGGCTAACTTCAAAACAATGTTTTTCATGTAGACGATTTGCAACGTTTTGAAAGGTTCCAGGAAACTCGGTTAAGGCGAGAGCCAATAGACCTTTTTTTAATTTGTATGTTTTGTTTTCCCATTTCTAACCTGCGATCCGGGCGGTACTTCTTCCCCTTTTTTCCCCGTTTCCCCCCCCCAAAAATAACGCCTGATTGCAGGTTATCCCATTTCAGCCACGTGATGTTTACCCATTCGGTATAGTGCCGGGCACTAGTGTGAACATGCATAGCCAGGACTAAGGCTTCGTTAACATTACACCAGATAGCTTTCGCGCCGGCAACGCGAAAACCATAATGCCGCTGGATATAAGGCCGGAAAGGGCTTCTGTTCACATACAAGAACTGGGGTGATTTCGGCGCGATTTCTAGCCTGAATTCGAGTCGTAGAAAATGACTCGAAGCAATCGGATGAAATTCAGGCTACGCGATTTCTGTAACGGAGCGAATCTGCGCCGGGCCGATCTTGAGAGGAGAACAGTACATCTGATTAGCCTGCGTAGTAAGTGTTTCCGTGCGGTTTCGGAGCAAAGAACGGGGAACAGGAGTCAAAGACCGTGCAAAAAATGCGACATTTTCTGGTTCTCGTTCCATTTTTCGCGCGGCCAAAACTGAAAATCTCGTTTCTCGTCGTTCCTTGGTTTTTCTTTGCTCCTAGTCTCAAGAAAACGCTTGCTACGAAGGCTGCATGCTTTAATTCCTGTTAGACTATCAGAGCGTGCGCGAGCGCTGTTGTTTCGCAAGAGGCCAGCGCTTTTTCTCCTAGTACCATAATGCTCGCACGCCTCTCGCGTTTCTCTCGTCATCAAAGTTTAGCTGATGAAACAATAATAGCTCCCTCAAGTTTACAATCATGGGTGTAAAAGAGCTTGAGCAATGCTATTGCACTATACTATAAAAACAGCTGCTTCTTATCTTATAGTGAAGGATATACAAATTGACAAAAATAATTACAAGCAATGTTTCAATACTTTTTTTCAGAATAGTTTTAAAACTTGCTTACCGCCCGCTTTAGGTTCAGAAACCCCCCTCCGGCCCCTTTCCCGCGAAATATTTTTGCAGTGTGGGTCCATGCCTCATCGACCTCATCGGATGAACGCGCTAGTGGTTTAACTTGTGTGGCGTCATTGAATTTATTGTTTACATCACGAGAAAAGAAAATTTCAATTGATTTGCAAATCGTTGTGCCGTCATCTTAGCATAAGAATCGAAGTTAATTAAAATCGCGCAGAGTCATAACAAACCACCACATTGAAACAATCTGGGGCCCATCCCTCCTGGGACTTTGGACCCAAATAATGTCACATGACCGATGTCAACAAAACACAGAGAAGGCGCCCTGAAGTGAACGAAGAAGGTTTGTGCGTCGAGTGTCGGCCGTGAAATTCCAGGTTGTGGTAATATCGGTGAAATTTTTTAAGAAAAGAGGACGGTGGAAGAGAAAATTGGTCTTTAGGCCGAAGTAAAGTAAGTTGAATTGTCTAGTTCTCTTACTCTGTAGCAAGAAACGCGCGTTTATCACAACAGACCGCCAATTAACCACATCACCTGTCTTTCCGCGATCTGCATTTCATTCATGAAGACTTGTTTTTCGCCCTTCAAAAGGCAAAAAAGTAAAGAGATACTTTCAACGTTATCTTTTGTCTCTAAATCTCCTTCCGTAATCGTCTATGTGGTTTTTCTTGTGGGCTTGAGGATCGAAAAAGTAAGTTTAGTTTCAAAATTGAAAATGGCGGCAACATGTCTTGTTTTGATCATTGTCCAAACATATGAAATCATGTGCTAAAAAGTGCAGTGTAAGTTATAGGACTTATCCAGGAGTAACACTATATTATTTATCAAATATCAGGTACCTACGTTTGTCATTTGGTTATTTATTTTCATGGAAAAGGTGAAAGCTGGAATAAAAGAAATATTACGTAAAACATCTAACGCTTACGAATTTCCGATACAGATCGAGGAATTTAGTAGTGAATCGACGCAGAGCTCAATAGTTTATCGATATAGCGACTTCGGGTCTCAATGCTTAACTTTTTCGGTATTTAACGTCGCTAAATGATAGAGTTAGTTGGGTTTTTAAATCAGAGGAAGTCTATTGGAATTGTTTGGGGTGTTTCTGGGGGCGTAGCACATCCATGTACGTAAGAGGCTTTACGTAAGAAGTTTTCTCTAAAGTTTTCCAAGACAACGAGATAAATGTTACGTCATCTAAGGTCGTTCAAGTTTGGGTTTTTTTTTTTTTCCTGTCAAATTCAGTTATGAATACAGTGCATCATGAGAAATATTTTTATACAATTTATGATTGTATCTTTGAAGAAAGAAAGCATGGTAACCATGCGTGACCTTAATTGAATGACTTGCAAATTCTAGTTAATATTACAGGATCCACTCTTATGTAAATGAATTTGTATTGTAATTACAGTATTGTTGCCTACTCCAACTTCCAATGAAACCCCACCATAGAGTGAATTTATGGGCCAAACTTACATGGTTCAACAGTCACTTGACCAAACGAATTGTTTTGGATAGTTCTGTTCAATAAAGCATGGGTTGAGCATGTAGTTTATCATGCTGCATTGATCTTGTTCATTAAACACATCAAACATATCAATGTTTTAGAGGGAAACACTTAGAGACTGATTCTGTTCTGTTTAATTAGTTGTGAGTTGCAACTTATAGAACCAAAACAGACAAACCCGGACAAATACCCTCCTGTATTACTCCTTCTGGTAAGGTATCTATATTTTTAACTGCAACAAATTGGAGATGATTATATTTTTTATTGCCAATAATATTGCCTGAATAATATTTCTAAATTTTTTTCCTAGCAATGACAGAAGTGGATTATCCAGTAATGCCTGAACCAGAATGGGCCAAGCCAAGAGACAAGAAAATGCAATCAACAGTATGACCAGTTTCATTTTCATTAGAATTTGTACCTTTCATGTTTGTTGATGAAAAAACTTTGCCTTGCTCTTTTGAGGGTGTTACCTTTTTTTCTGAACTTAAGTCAAAGACTGAAATGTGACAAAATCTTTGCACTTTTACTACCAACAGGGCTGTTAGAAAGTTTGAAAATGGTGGCTTTCCTGTTAAATAGGCAGCTGATTTTGCTTTGAGGTTTCCAGCTGCTGACTATTTTTGATGACCCTAATATCCCTCATAGTTACCCAAAAAACAGAAACCAATCTCACATGCCTGAGTGTTGTCTTTCAAAACTTAAACAGACTGGAAACCATGGGAATCAGTGGACTTCATACAAGGGCAAATGCTGGTTTGACCCTTAATTAAAATCCTCAATATCCAAATACAAATTCTCAAAACTGATCTCCATATATTTCCTGAACAGGTTAAAGACATTGGTAAAAGATCAAAGCACTTTTGTTTTGGTGATTTTTTAATCAATTCTCATAATCTTTTCTTTTGATTATGCATTGATATAGTTACATGTAGGAGAAAATATATGTTTGTCACTCTGGAGATTTAAAGTGTTAAGGAAACACTAATCTGGATGGGGGCCTGAATCTTCATTTACAGAGTAACTCCATTTAATAAACTTATAGAATTTCATCTTATGGAGAATCAGGTGAATGAGAAGCTCATTCACAGGAAGTTGTTACAGTGTCAGAATTTTAACACCTCAATTACACATTCATCTTTCATCAATCTTTTGCTCAAAGAGCTTTTTATTCCTCTTGAAGTGTAAATGTGAGATGTGAGAAGTACTGTACTAAGGTATCAATATTCTTAAAACCTCACACTCAGCTCTCTTTTGTCATTTTTAGGATGGTAAGCAGAACATAATTGCAGCTTTGAAGAAAACTGCATTTGTTGTTGGCACAGCACTTATTTGTTTTGCTGCAGCAAGAAACACAATTACATGGTTAGAGACAATAAATTAGTATGTTTTCTAGTTTGTAGTCATTTAAGACAAAGCCAGAATGATATTCTCAGAAGCCTCTTTTTTTGCAACACAGCAATCATTACATTAGTTTATTGGAAAGTGATGTCAGTGTTATCTTTATTTTAAGGAGATAATTTTCTTGGATTCTTTCCCAGGCAAGTAGAGAGATTCTGGGGTGCATCTGGTGACTTCTGGCAAGGTTGCTGGAAGAAAGTGCATGCATTATTTGGTGGAGATGAATTTTTACTTTCAGTTGTAGGTAGGTTCTATTACATGCAGTAATCATCACTCTAGCTGAAGATATCTTTGTTATGAAGGTGACATAAAAATCTTCAATATTACACAAACTGTTTCAGACCAGGAGGGGTAGTTAGAATGGTTCCTTGAAAAACGTGGGTCTCGGAAAGTTTTGGACCAATCTCGAAATTTTGGAAGTCTCAGTCACAAATTTTGAAACTGGGTTTTTGCAAAGTCTCGAATTTACCATTCTTAACCTCTACCAGTTATTAAGCTCTAGACAAAATTTTGACTCGTCTATAATAAATTGTTACCACAAAATATTATCAAAATAAAAAAATATTAAAGCATCCCTCTTGATTTACATGTATGATATACCTGCAGGCACCAACAACATGCATCGGTAACACAGTTTGCCTTGTTTTTTTAGGAACAAATGTGGTGACGTTCCTGTTTTTTTGGCTGTTTGGTGGTTTTTATCTCTTCATGGACCTCACTGGTAGACCAAAGTGGGCTTTGCAGTATAAAATTCAAGATGGAACAAATCAGCCCGTAAGTTACAAAATTCAAACCTCAAAACATTTAGGCTGTTTTTATGCTAGACGTTAAAGTCGTCTAGACGCATTTAATGTCTGAGACGTTAAAGTCGTCTAGTGTTAAAACGGGACGCACAAAAGTAGACGACCTTATGTAAAAAAGTAGATTTTTCTGAAAAAAGGACTAGGCTCTACTCTTGGAAGACACTGGACACAACTTAAAGCGGTGCCAAAAATGAACTTCAACCCCGCGAAATGCCAACAAATTGTTCAAACTCTAACAACTCTTAGAACTGGTTGTTGTCTTCACTTGTAAACGAGCATCTAACTCTTTCTTAATGGCTTCAAAAATATGACCATTAGCTGACTTTTTGAGTGCAAGAGTCTCCAAAGTTAATGCAAATTCAGTTCGGTAGTCTGCAAGAACAGATACAAACTCCTTAAGTTCATCCTCACTCCGCTTTCTACCACGAGACTCCTTCATGCTCTTCTTGGCCGCCATGTTGTTTTGCACTCGTCCCAGTCGTCTCTGGACGAGTCGAGCATAATAGGACAGTACACCCAGGCCGATTATATGCTTGATTTTTAGAAAACAGTCTCCTTTTTCTTTAGCTCAACCTTAAGAAGCTTTGGCGTGCAGTGAAGCTGGTGTTGTTTAACCAGATAGTGGTTGGCACTCTTGTGTCCATAGTACTTCATCCTTTTCTACTCAAGAGAGGTTGCTCTTTCTCTACTGAGCTACCAGGTTTCCACTGGGTGTTGTTTGAAATTGGGATTTTCACATTGGTGGAAGAAGTTGGTTTCTACTACTCTCACAGGTGAAGATTTTAATGTACTAACATGTTTATTAGCACTGCAAAATATGGTATTTTAGAGCTAGAAAAAAAAAACCTTGTCGTAAATTCCAGCTTGTCCTTTGGGCTTGTAGCTCTCACATTTTGCTTGCCCAGGGCAACTACTTATTTGTCTTAATTAATGATTCAGTTAAAGGATGACTTTTCCTTTTGTCAAATGAACTTTAAAAGTTACTTGTCCGGCGAGAAAATCCAGTCGTACCAGACGAGACTTTCTTTTTTGAGCCCTGGTATTTTACTACCCTTTCTTGAGGTAAAATTGTCGGGTACTTGTCAAGACAGTATCACACATTTCCCAAATCCAGATATTTCTAATCAATGTAGTGATTTTGTTACAAATAGTTATGGTGAGTCCTGGGACTCATCTTGTTGAAAATCATGAGTCCCACTCCAGAACCATTGAGTTCCAGTACAAAACAAAATGAGTCCTTGGATCTTTTGTAACCACACAGTTAATTTGAGGTCAGACTACAAAACTCTGCAAGTTTACTGAAGTAAAATAAACTTCTTCTATTGTAAAGCACAAAAAAGAGTAAAAGAAATAAGCATCGTTTATAAACAGCCAAAAGAACAGCCACAGAAATTCATACAAACAGGGTATTCTACGGAAACATCTTCTGATCGACTGATCGTTCTCTGCGTCCATGGGATGCATACCACAAAATATTGGGCGTCTTGGGGATTCTTATGCCTCAGGGATGCAGGACGCAGAGGTAACAAAATCACTGTGAGGGGCAAACTCATCTGAGTCTGATTAGTTTATATCTGGTGTATCACTAAGGGTCTGGGGCTAAGAATTTCTCCTGGCAGGCTACTATGAGCATGATGGCTCACTATTTTCACAGGAAACAGAAGAAAAATAAAACTTAGCAACCTTGTTAGCCCTTGCAATTCCCCACCTTCTTATTGCATCTGATATACCCAGCAACTTGAAATCTTAGTGACACTATGGTTGAAATAAAAGTTATTGTCATACACTGTACGTTTTAATTAAATGTTCTTGTTTTTTCCATCCTTCATCCTAAAGCATTGGACTCTCAAAGAAATAGTAGTAAATGAGTGCGAGTCGTATCAACCCGGAATTGTGGGAAAATATTGAATAATATTCCCAGGGCTGTCTTATGAGGCGGGGGTTGGGGAATTTCCCTGATTTCCCCGCCTACTTTCATAGGAAAATAGAAGAAACATAGAACTAAAAGAAATCGCTAGCTGTTTTACCGGCATTCCCCACCTGCTTGTTGTATTTACTCAGCAACTTGAAATCTTAGTGACATCCCTGTATTCCCATTACCTGCAAAGTAGACGGTTAAAACACCACATTCAATGCCGTGAAAAAGAATGTCATAGAATGTAAGTTTCATAAAAAAACATTTTTTTTAATTCATCTAGAGTGTCTCTTGAAAGCCCTGTTGAAGTCTATACTGATTCAACCTTACAACCCATAATTTTGTTGTTAAAAGAAAGTTTCAAAACTTTGTCTTAATGAGTTTTTTTGTTGTTGTTGTTCTCCTAGGCTTTTTCATCATCCACGCATTTACCGGTTTATCCACAAGATTCATCATGAATGGACAGCTCCAATTGGTATTGTTGCAATCTACGCACATCCTCTTGAGCATGCTGTATCAAATCTTGGCCCAATCATCCTCGGTCCGCTGATCATGGGTTCACACATTGCTACGGCGTGGATGTGGTTTTGTTTGGCACTTATGACGACAATCAACACCCACAGTGGCTACCATTTGCCTCTTATGCCGTCACCTGAAGCTCATGATTTCCACCATCTCAAGTATGTTGCCACTTATTTAACTAATTAGCGATATTTGCATTCTCGACTCCAAAGCTTAGATCGTGTTGTCATGCCACGCCACATCACCTATTGACTGTAGTGGACTATTAGAAAGGTGAAGAGCATAGGGAACTTAAAACCATACAACTACCATATTTCCTCGAATAATAATCGAATAATCGCCCCACCTTTGATGGAAATATTTAAAATAATTGCCTTCTCCCCACCCCTCTCGCCATCTTCTCTTTCTTTTATCCCCTCCTTGTCAAGTTGATGTCGAATCAAATCCAGCAAAACTGCTCAGTGACGATTCAAGCTCTCAAAATTAATCAATTATTCGAGGAAATACGGTGTCTATACACGTCCTTGATTACCATACATCTTTGTTAAGAATGTGCTCAAATCAGCTTCGCAGCTTAAAAATGCTGGAAAACAAGGAGTGGCCAGAATACAGAATTGTTGCGGTTAAGTGCGCAGAAGTCCAAGCTTTCAACGACGAATTGAATCTTCGTAGAGTGTTTTTTAAAACTGAATTCTTCTTGTTTTTGCAGATTTACCCAGAACTATGGTGTCCTTGGCGTGTTGGATCGTCTCCATGGTACAGATGTCATGTTCAGAGATTCCCGAGCTTATGACAGGCATATCATGTTATTGGGATTCATTCCTCTCAAACAAACCTTTCCTGACAACCCCAAGAAGGGCTCACCTAATAAGACCAAGTAAAACGTGGTTTTTTTTTTAATTATTTCTTCCCTGCAATTTTTTGGTCAATATTGTTACTTTAAGTTCAAATAGAACTTAGTTTATAAAGGTTTGAAAGAAAATAGTTTATGCTGTCATCAGTTGTGGTTTTCCTCTTTATTTATTTAACACTTATGACCACTCTGGATGTCTTGTAAATTAATTTCGGTTTATATACAGAGGATTGTAAATGTTACGGAGATAAATTTTAAGACTGAGGGACAAGGTATTTTCTGAGTTTTTTCATCTTAAGTTGTTCTTAACCACGTATGGAGTTTCTTGTACAAGTTAAGAGAAGTTTGAACGCTCCTCATGGAGAGAAAATGCTGTACATCATGAATGGGGTGTTCGAGTAAAATAAAAGTGTTTGAAAGAATAGTATTTGTCTCGTTTTTTTTAATGAAGGTAAATCGATGAGATTTCACAACCATGTTTAGACAAAACAAAAAATGGAATTATATAGTGCGAATAACCGAATGTCGGAGTTATACGTTATCCTTACCAGAACTTCAAGAAGGCTGAGTGACGTCACTTTCTCGACCCAGGATACTGCAGATGGAGAAGTCCGTGGGTGACTTGTTGCGAATACATGACCTTCTGGCATGCGCAGAACGAACAGGAGAATCCACTAGTGAAATAACGGATTTCATCTGATGACACTCCATTTCAACAGATTTGATTAGTTGGATATGGATTTGATACTAACAAACTCAGAGTGACCGAAACCACATTTATCTGTCGTCGGTACTCTGACATCTGTCGATCAATTAACGACAAAGGAAGCGGCCCGACAAACAAATCGTTTATTGACCTGCATGGTTGCCGAGTTCTGGAACAGTTCAGTGTCCGGGTCCGGTCATCCAGAACCTTAGATGAGGGGAGGGGGGCGCGGTCTCCAAAAAGATTTTTTCGACCCTTTGGCCCTCAGTTTAGTCTAAAAATAAGGGGCCCCCTCCCCTAGATCCGCCACTGCAGTTAACATACGAATTAAACTGCGCGCGCCGTTGGTTCTTTCCAATAGGGACCTTAAGATCCGAGGACGGCGACGGCAGAGAAAACGTCGCTGAAAAAGTGAATTCGCGTTCTTTCATCTTCATCGCGACTACTCCAAGTCACTAACTTTGTCAAATGTAGGCGAACCCTCCTAAAGTCGAATTCCTAAGAACCATATCCAAGTTCAGAAGGAGAGAGGAAATTTCGTCGTCGCTTGTGTACTTCCTCTGTACATCGTGAAATTAGGTATTTTCACGTCGTAGTCGTGCAGTGACGGCAAAGAAATGTACAAAAAAGCGTGATGCACGTTCAAAATTGTTGTTTTGCTAATTAAACCTATTGCTTTAGTGGCGTTCCCGCTGCCGTCGCCGTCGTCGGATCTTAAGGTCCCTAATGGCATGAAATAGCGGGGAGATCCGTATAAAGGATCTTTTAAAAATGGCGCGCGTCATTTTTTCTTAGCCAACGTCAAACAATTAATTACTTAAATTGATGAACGCTGCAGGATTAGCTCAGTCGATAGAGCGCTTGACTGCAGAGCGGGAGGTCGCGGGTTCGCTTCCCGGGGTAAAATAACTGAGAAATGAAGGTACCTCCTTTGCCCTGGAAATGGCTAGACCTTTGCGTGGCTCGGATGACAAAGTAAAACGGGGGTCCCGTCTCCAGTAGGAGACATTAATATAGTGACCCCAATTAGCACTTCCGTGCTAAATACATTGACACTCAAATAAAGTGCTTTTTTTTTTAGAGGAATCGCTCAATAAACGATAACTTATTTGTATTAGGACATAAGAAGTTCTCACATTAAAACGTTCAATTCGCGAACCATTCAATTGCGTTGCAACCCGCGAAAACCGTCGTTCTTCGTTACACCTTTTAGAACGTTGTCATCTATTGTAAACAAGAAAGACCAAGTATAATGAAAGTTCGGCCGGTTACTCAACTTATAATTTTTCTAGGGGAAAAAAGCCCAAATTATTACCTTCTTGAAGTTAAAGATCTACACAAATTCTGAAGCTATGTTTCTTTAGCGCAATTGCTAATCTCGCGCGAAGACCCTCACACCCGCACACTGAATTGGGCAAAAGATTCACTCGTTCCCAGATATAGTCTGGTCCGCGAAATTGAGAAAGCGCGAACACGAAAATAAAACGGGACGAAATCTCATCTCTCATTTTTCTCCCTCTAATTTTACCCGCCACAGTCCCCTTTTCCTTTCTCACGCGCTCATATTTTCGCGTGTCTTTCACTCTCGTGTCTTTTTCTCTATCTGAGAGCCTGGAACAGGCTATACTCTCTTTTCCCTTTTGCAACATTGTAGGTTGGTAATTATTGGATCTGTAAAACAAAACAAAAAAAAAACATTTAAAACGAATCTCTTGGCTGTGATAGTCCCAAAGACTGATAAGCATCCCTCCAAATTTTGCAAGTTGCGCCCTTTAATGCGCTCTAATGTTGAACTGGCCGTTTACGTTTCAACTCGCATTGTTTGGTTGGAACTATTATGCGGCACTTTTTAATAATTACGTTTTTTCCAATTAAATAAATGAATTTATTATATAGACACGCGTGTTTTAATGGAAAATATACCACTCCCTGAAAATTCATAAAAACTACATCCGGGACCCGAGTGGTTTATTTTCCATAATCTCACACGTGAGTTTATGGATGACGTAATTTCGGTCATTTCCCTCTATTATTTTATCGATGTCTTTTTGTCTATATAATAAAAAGAACATTATATTACACGGCGGCTTGAAGATATGAATTTTATTTTCTCGTGGCAAAAACAATATTTTACTCACTCGCTGCGCTCGTTCGTAAAATATTGTTTTGCCACTCGAAAATAAAATTCATTTCTTCGCGCCAACGTGTAATATCCTCTCTATATATAAATGTATATAAATTTTATAAATGTGCTATGCATTTCCCTTCTTTATGCGCTTTCTCATGATGATTTCACACGGTGACAGAAATGTCATTCATTCTCGTCGGCCCTGGGATGCCGTTCAGCTTTCATCAATCCCAGTACAGGCTGCTTATCGTAACTGATTCGATTTCTCTTTCAATTTGGTCGTTAAATCTAAAGCAAATATCATTCAAAATCTCTAAAAAGCCAAGTTGTCATTTATTGCTCCCTTCTAAATTACCACAGCAGCACCTCTCGCAAGACTCTCCGGAAAACTACAACAGTGAGCCAACCCTGTTGGATCGAATGCGGGCATTCCCTTAATTGGCTGAGACTGTTATGTGTCACTGAAGGTGTCTTTTCGGACCAGAATCTTTAAAAAGAGTGTAAAGATTGACGATGCTCGGTCTACATGAGAAGAACCAACAATGTATTTTTTTAAAATTCTAATCCCATGATGTTACTTTTAGAAACGCTTAATTTCTTGTGCGAAATAAAATAGATCAGGGTCGGGAAATAAGGTAGTCTCCGGCTCGCAGCCGTTTTTGGATGTCACGCAACGCTCCCCCATCCATAAAAAGGCTGCAAGGGAGACTAGAAATAACGTCTCTTGTCTAAAACAGAGTAGCGAAATCAGAAACTTGTCTTTTGAGAACAGCATCAAGGGCCTCGGGGGCATAACTATACCTAAACTTCCCTTGAATGCCCCCCGGCCCCCTCCTCCCACACCCTCTGAGCAGCCAACCTTGTTTTCATAGTCTACCCCTTTTCATAGTCTCACCCTTCCTTCTCCGATAAAACAACGGCGATTAAACTACATACATGTTATCACAGACACTAGTACAAACTGATTTATTTACAACACCACCAGCTTCAGTGCTAGAACTATTTACAAAGCAATGAACTAAACTTATTTTTTCTCCTAATACACTAGACATAATTACTATATCTGTAAACTCTTTTTCGCTCTTTCGACAAATCAAATTCAGTACACTAATCAAGTCTATACAAATTAGTATGGTTGGTATCTGTATGGGGCACGGCTGTACGGTAGTCTTGCGGGCTCAGCAGGTCTGATTGTGAACTGGTCAGGGTAGAGCTTGGGTACACGGTTTGACATGACTGAGAGCCGTTGACAACTGGCAACTGTTCTCTGATTATCTCTAAAGTAGCTTTCCATCGCCGGACAGGACACTCGTTCGCCTTGTTTCCAGTGATCTGGATAGGGTCGGCTAACAAACTGGTTTGACTGGCTGGTCAGGCAGACGGATGAAATCTTTCTCTCCAGTTTCCTCGACTTGGCTCGTCGATTTTGAAACCAATACTACAAGAAAGAGAACAAAAATCTGAGTTACTGAACTGAATAAGGGCGGACAAAATCTACACAACACACAGTACAGTCCAATAATAATTTGTATAGATTCCAAAACATTTTCTGACAGCAAAATAGCGTTAATTTATCAATATAATATAACTTTCACATCATATAAAGAAAATACCGCAATGGCTACACACGTTTCAAAGATTCACTAAAAGCACAATAACCGATTGAGGAAATTATAGCGATGACTAACATGCCTGATTTGAAGTGTAACTTTGCAAGACTACATGTAATCACGGTCCGACAATTGCATATTTGCTTCAATACATTTGAAAAATCACGTTACAATTGCCGAGCCTTGAATCGATAATCATACTGCTTAAAGTCCCGCACCGAGCGTTTACAACTTACCGTTCCCGGCAAAACTGAAAATGATCAGAAACAAAATCCAACTGAAATTCTATTCCTCTTAGAGTGCAAATGCGCACTATTTCCTGTAATTTACGCTCATGATAGGAAACATGAATGATACGAAACTCACCCTCAGACTTTTAGCCGTGATTCCCAGTCTTTGTATCAGTTCCTCCTCATCTTCTTTTAGCAAATATGGCCGCCTTCTGAATGCTCGTTCCAGCTCCCAAACTTCGATCGGCGAGAAGGTCGTACGCTGTCGCTTCTTCGTTGCTGAATGTTCGGTTGCAGTCGAAGTTTGATCGGGCTCACTGTCACAATCGCTGCTGGAGCTTTTGACGTCAGAGTAAGGAGTTAACGGTGGACTGGTTGCACTGTAGCTTGGACGAGGGCTTGCCGCGCAGTCGGAGTAGGGCGATAACGGCGGACTGGTATCACTGTTGCATTCTGTTGAAGAAAAATTAACATACATT